CTTGACCATCCCTGGCAAGGCGATGGTCAACATTCTGTTCCTCGAGTTGCTCGTCTTGGTGAGCGACCATCTGGGGAGACGCTACAAGACAAGCCCATGTACTGATACAGTGATCTGTGCAGCGAACAAGACCGGTACATCATAGAAATATATAGAAATTAGATGAACTTAGTGCAACCAGGTGGTGTCATGACAATATCATCTTAGTGGAACCCCCTCGATATCTACGATTGATGTGAGATGCAAGATCGAAAAAGAACCCGGGTCCATATTAATCTTCCAAGGCGAACAGCTGGCAGTCCATCTTTTTGATTGCATTTAAACAAGATTTCACTTGATAAACGTTGAACAGAGCCTCTGCGCCAGATTGGGTCGTACTGCGAAGTCACGTTCCTCTCACGAAAAAGTGCTGTTCCAGGAGCCACATGGAGATGGGGTGGTTTGGTTCGTCCCAGCCAGTGAGTGGATGTTCTGGGCACCCCAACTTCCTCCAATAGGATTCCAACAGGATCCAACGTTCGGCACCCCTTTACTGCACCCCTTTGTGACTGACTCACCAGTCTGACCCAACAGGAGTCCGACTTCGACCTCGACATCGGCCGTTCTCCCCTCAGGTTGACACCACCCCGCAGCTTCGATCAGGTCGTTTTTCCACTCTACCCGGCGTTCCCCTTCTCATCAACCCGGGTTGATGGCACTCGACCGACGCCCCCAGCAGGCGGATTTTCCAAACCACCCCATCCACGACCGACGGCACGGATCGAAGCCCCCGACGTGTCGGACCTCCGAAGGTGTTGTGACTTGACGAGGGCATACGGACTTGACGTCCGGACACGGGGACTGGCAGGGTTTTTCACGAGTTGGGGCTATTTTTGTTTGCCATAGATCATAGATGTCTTTATGATGTCTTTTGACATCGTTATATATAGTATAGTTATATATAGATACTAATTATGTAATTAAAGGTACTGTAACTGGTATCGATATTCACAGATCTATGATCTGATCATTGATGGAACACGTTTGGCGTCCGGTGGCATCACTACACCATTCCAAGGTTCAAGTAGCTGGGGTCATTCTCATGCTGAAGCGCCTCTTCTCTGGCCGGCCAGGGGGGCCAAGGTCATGATCATGAGGTGGTAAGCCACACGACCTGGGTCGCATGGGTAGCTATTGAAACCTATACCCCCAAATACAGGATGTGCTCGAATTCTGGCCACCTCGCGCACGCTGGTACCGGACCCTCTGGCGCCCGTGGCCACACCACGGAGAAGCTGGGAAGAAAACATGGGAACATCTCCTCTTCACTCTAACAGTCAGGACATTTGATCATGTTTGAACCATCTCCAAGCCAGCGAGGTCCCATAGAGTCGCGTTCCGGCCATGGCCGCCCCGAATCCCAGTCAGGCACTATGGATTGCATGGTAGCCATGGGACATGCCCAGCGGCGTACTTCTATATTCTTGACAACATTACACTCGGCTCTGCTGGACATGGGGTAATTATGATGTCCTCTTATCGCTCCCAACTCGCACCGTATGATACCATCTGCTTTGTTGGTCGCCACATCCAAATCCACCTCTTCCTCCAAGTGGCACGCACCAAGCACGCAGCTGTGCCTTAGTCTAGCTGCCAGAGTGGTCTGGCTGCAGGGCGGATGAGAGTTCCGCTTAAGGGAAACTACTAATAAGCCACAAACTCAAAAGAAGGACCTACAATAAACAGCATGACAGTGCGCTGTTCTTGTCCATCAAGTGGCTTGTTGGAAAAAACAACACCACGTGGCTACGTTTATGTTTTGTTGTTTGCAAAAGGAGCTGTAGGATCTTCTGAATCAAGGGTGGCTGCAGAATTTCTTGTATACATCAAGAAGAGCAAATGAGGATTGTTCTTCCAAAATGCCCTTGTGCGCCTTGTGGAGATCAGGACAGGCGCTGCCCCACTGGCTGAGTTGGTTTCTTCATCCCAGTACAGCAACCGAACAAAGAGGACAAACAGGGGCGACGAAAACACCCACGAAGACCACCGGGTTCTGACCGGCGGGACCGCGTGCGTCTCGGTCTTTACACCCTCTATCGGCACCCAAACCACCGACCGGGCGATCTCCGACCGGTGGTGCGCTCGCCATCCCGCTTATAGGCAGAACCAACACACATACGTATGGATCAGTGGGTGTTTTGAGCAGCGAGTAGAATTCCATGTGACGAATTCCCGTTGGCAGAAGCAAGCTCAAGGCGAATTGGAAGAGAACAACCAAAACATGGCGGTGTACTTGGGTGTGTATATTGGATTAGGGAGACCAAGTTCGATCTCAGGGAAAATCAGCAAATAAACTAAATCCATCTACAGTAAATCCATTGGTTGGGAGGTCGCCCTCTTAAAAATACAAACACACCATGGAGCCGAGGACGGCGCGCGGTAGCTCGCTCAAGCGAGAATACGGCGGAGCTCGGCTCGTCGAAGCGGCCGGTTGCGTACAAGCAGCCGAAGATTGAAAATGAAGAGTATGTGCGAGCTGCTGGAAGCCAAGTGCCAAAGTATGCCAGTTAAAGGAACCAGGACCAAGAGCCAGGAGAGAACTTGCAGCTGAGCATTGTAGCCACATGCTCGACTCAAGGTGTAAAACCAGGTGGGGTTCATGGGAGGCCCTTTCTCAGTGTACAGGGCAGCATCCACAAAGTGCCTGAAGCTCATGGTAGGCTCCTCGATCCAGGGAATGCAAATTCAAGTCCTTCTGAACCCCTTCGTCCAAGTGTTATATTGCTCGTACTGCAACCAAACATTCCCTCTTTGGAATGATACTGATAGCGTAGAAACTCGTAATGTTCATGATCGAATGTTGTTCTATTTGTCATGCTTTACAGTGGTCAAGCTCTTCTGTCAAACATGATCACCGCATTTGTGAAGCACAGTGCTGCAGTTGTATTCCTTTCCAGCTTATGAAACTGCCTGGGTATAACTTGCATGTCAAACTTTGTTGGCACAATTCTCCCCGCTGTGCTTCTTCGCACTTTTCCTTCTTGCTCACTGTGAACATACTGCTCAAACAAATTGCACCCAATTCATAGTTTAAGCTGTTTTACTCCCTGCTGAGCTAGAATTGATGTTTCCCACAGATTTTGAGGCTATGATGGATGTTGAAGCCCCTAGTAGAACCAGGCAAGCTCCCCCGTATCGAGGGGAAAGACCTATCCAGCTGGTGTCCTCTGATTATGGCAACTCATGATGCAAGGGTGCTCATGGAGTTGAAGACTTACCTTCCGTCCAATGGAGACTGGTGGAAGAGGAGTTTCTTGACTACAACATGGGTCAGTGCCACTTTCATACTTGACAAAGTGTGATACTGCCTGCATACTTTCGGGATATAACGCATCCAATTGAAATACGTCGGGCAGTGTGTTTGCAAGTGGGGATCTGGAAAGCTACCAGGATCAGAAACCCGGAGGATCACTTTCTAGGGGCCAGGAGCTGGGACAAACATCACCAGGAGCCACCAAATGTGTCGTGAACACGGGGTTTGAGTAGCCAGTTCCTAAGCAGCTCAGCCAATTGTTTGGGGTTATCATGGATTATGTATGCAATTGGTATGCATAGATTAGATCTGATCCAAGTGGGTGGCCAGGCCATGTGTTGGCCCAGCCACCCAAATAGTCACCTAGGACCTAGCAGGCAAAAATCGCTGGCAAACAAACGCTGGGGGCGTTGAGAGCACCTGACCGTGACCCGAACCAACACCTGGATTCCAAGCGCCACGTTCGTCCACAAGCGCCACGTGCCGGCGAGATGTTTCCCATGCAGCAAAAAAGAACGACTGGCGCAGCGGCGCAGCTCGCTGTCCTTGTAGGGCGCTTTCCGCAGGGTTGCTTCCAAGCAACATGATCTCGCACAGGATGATACCATTACCATGGCTCTCTGTTGATGTTGCTGTGGTCTTTGTTCAAGTAGAATGCCACGGTTTGGAAGAATGGAACCCCCGGTCTTGTTTGGCATCGAGTCCTCAACCTTAGAGAACTTTATCTATGGTTGGCCATATACATTGACAACCTACATGGGCAAACACTGGGCCAAACAAAAATACACCTCACGCCTCACGCGCAATCGGAACATAGTGGAATCAACATCCCGAACATAGTGGAATCTGTTCGTTTGGACCTCGGTCAACCCATAAAACCTTCTTCACAACAAGGACTTTCGGCACACCTCAGGTGCCTGCAACTCAAGAAGTTTGACGCCCACGGCGGTGCAAAACCAACGGATTTGGTCTCTGTACTGCGTCAAACATCGACCGATTACATGCCTTTCGGATGGGCGAACTCCGATTGAGCCGGATGACTTCTGCAGTGTTGCCGGCAGGAATTTCTTTGAAGCAAATTCTCTGGCAATTGATGCCTCAGGGTGTGCCGCCCACAAGTATGGCCCCTAAAGATACGTCACTACTAAGCACAATTATAATAATTATACCGTATTGAACAGTTCTCGCACTACCAGAACCCCCAGCTTGTCTAGGTGGCTCAAAAGCATCCTTTTGGAGTTCACAGGACAACAAACATGTATCTAATTTTGTCTGCCACTGAAAAATGAAGGGGGGAAGTGGATGGTTTGCTAGTGAGGGTCTATTGCTCAACACAAGAATATGGTGATAAACATGCTGCAGCTTAATACCACTGACAAGGGACCTCCTGGAATACTAGCGAAAAGGCCTCAGTCAAATGAACAATCAACATCCGTGAGTCTGAAGCATGAAAAGGAATTCCCAGCCCGATAGGTTGTTTCCTGTATTATTTTGAACGTTTCTTTTTCCTGTAGTTTGAACGTAATAACTTTGGCCACTGCATGCAGTGCAATGCATTGCAAATCCATGGAAACCACGTTTGGAACATGACCCTTCAGTCTCCTTGGGGACTCGAACAAACAGACACGTCCGTGACCAAGGGGAACCACACGCGACAACCACACGCTCCGGGTGACCACGTGCGTGACCCTCCGTGACCGCACCCCGCCTCACCCCAGTGCCACGACACCACAGCATCTCTGATGGTGCACCGTGCCTTGAGATCGATCGATCGAGGACGAGGACGGATCCGTCGGGACGTGGTCAGTGGCACGAGGTGGGACGATCCGAAGTATGTGGATGTATGAGATGTATATATGTTGTATGTGGGTGGAGGATCCACATCCATTTTACTAAGCCTGGACTGGGAGGACTGAGGTGATACCAGTCCAATGGATGGTCTGCCAGTCAGTCAGCATACGACAGCCAGTCAGTCCTGTGGGCCCGTGACCTCAGTTCTTTTCGTAGTCTCATGATGACAGCCCAGCACTCAAACCCTTTTCGCCATCTGGGAGAACCACACTACGACCCTTCCAGGCAGTCGTATAGTCATAGTCTTATATAAAACACCCAGAGTTTGCTTTCATCATCATCTCTTCATCATAGTCGTTTATCCAGTCGTAGACTGACCCCAGAGTCCTTGTGTCTTCATAGTCATACATATATATATATATATAGTACTATAGTATCATATAGTCAATTTCTTTTCACTCATCCTCCAAACACCGCGGTCGCCGTCTCCATCATCTCCGTCAAACTTGCCCAAGAAACCTCGCCATCCTCTTTGCCCACCCATTGCCCATCGAAGGAAGCGCGACTCAACAGCTGATTCAACCCTGAGACCAGGCCATCCACCAAGCCTTCGGCGGTTCGGTCCACCGGTCCACCCGGTGGGACCCGGTGGGACTCGGTAGACACCTGGGACCCAGGGGTCCCAAAGAACAGGGACCGACCTATATCATCATATGAGGCGTGTCGTCATATATCTATACCTGGATCTTCGAAACGGCACAAATAATTGCCTTTTCAGGAAAAAATGCCGTTACGGCGTCTTTTTCCAAAGACGGCGTTTTTTGTTGTGACGAGGCGCACGCCGGCAGAAAGCAAAAAGAAACGGCGTCTTTAAGCGTCCAAACGGCGTCTTTGGGCGTCCAAACGGCGTCTTTCCCCGTCCATGGATTTTGTGCAACCCATAAAACGGCATGTTTTTTTGATTACGGCGTCTTTTCACTAAAAAATGCCTCCGGCAAAAATTTGTGCCGTTTGAAGATCCAGGTATATATATAGGAATTGGAACAGGTGGCTCAATCAGTTCAATCCATGTTCAAAGGGATCAAGTTCGGGAACACCAGTCATTCATTGACATTGCAATGACGAAAGAATTGGATAGAATAACATGGACTCGGGACCAAAAAATCAGCTGCCTTTTCTCAACACACGACCACCTGGACCTAATTAGTTTGTGTGAGTCATGATCCTGCACCTCAGGTTAGCGACGAGTACATGGAAGTAGTCTGATCTTCAGCAACCGCTCTTGACCTGTTTCTTCATGACACTCTGTTTCATGGATTGGAGCAGCAAACGGATGCGAGTTTGACCAACGTGGAATGCCTCGAGTCTTAGACATCGAAAGCCGCTCGGAGAGAGAACAACTAGAAGGGGGCCGGCGACGGGAATCTGTAGACTGTAGACTCAATTGTACATATACACGCATCGCGTGTTCAATAACCTGGGCAAGTGCAAGCTGGACATGAAACACATGTTTTAATTGTATAAATATACATCATTATACATCATTATACATATTTGTGCATCATGTTGCATCTCTGTTCATAAGCACTTTATGTTCTTTTTTTGTGGTGATGCAAGACGTATCAAGACGTTATCGGATCCGACCAGTCAACAGTCAACACCCATTGTTTTGATTGTTTTGCAACCATGGAACAAAACTATGGGACATTTTTTTAATAATCAAACACACCCACCCTATACTGTTAAACTGTCAGACTGAACAACAAACTCAAACAAAACACTACGATGGTCAAAATGCTTTGCTGCAGTGCTTCAGCACTGTTGGTCCACCATCGACTGTGCGGCATCAACAAGGGGACCTCGCCTCGCAACTTTGGCATGGCTTCATCAGCGTGAGATTTCAAGACTTGCGCCACTTCTTGAGCCTCCTTTGCCTCCCATTCATCCTCAGAGATAGAGATCCAGCCAGATCCAGACCGGACGGTTGTGGAGGTGTTTGTTGCGTGCGGATCATGGCACCAGGAGACCGTAACCGGCGGGTATCGGGACCGACCGAGCGGTGCGAAAGATGGGTGGACTGGTTGGGCGAAGATGGAACAACCCGTCCGGGCCACAATGTCCAATGATAGGATGAGCCATTGAAAAGGGGATGCTGCATGTTGATGCATGCGCAGTCTACGCCGGAATGGTAGATCAAGGAAGAATTGTGGACAAACCGCCGTGAGACTGGGGAAGAGACCTCCCATGATTTAGAGTGATTTGTTACAGGTGAACTTGCTGGCACCATTCAGCGGTGTTGCTTCTCTGCTGCAATTCTGCAGGTCAAATTGTAGGATCAACATGGATGAACCAGCGCTACGAATCAGTCCAGGACAAAGACTTATAAGATCTTATAAGACTTGTTGACACTACCACTTACACTTCGTTGATATGTCGTTTGTGATAAAGCCCGTGCTACACTGCTACACCTCCACACTCTGAATTTCCCCCATGACCATGTACCCGAAGGACTATCCGCAATCATCCTGGCACGTCTCAGCTCAAAACCTCGTGAGGTTCCAAACATTCTGCGAACGTGGACTCTCCATGATCGATCTCGGAAGTCCACGACCGAGAAAAAGAATGAAGCGTCATCACGTCACTCTCCCAAACCCACTGGACACTCTCGACGTCCGGGCGACGAAGTTGGTGGCTGGCGGCTGAGGCGACGTTTGGCCGAGGCGCCCAAAGCTTCAGAGCGTCTCCAGCCGCTTGGCTGGCCTTACTCAGAAGCTGCTCCTGCCAGGTGCTGGGCGCGGCGCGGAACCCAACTCAGACCCCCCATGGGACTGGAATAGGAAAACCACCATGGATGAGTCAGACATGGTCAGACTGTCACGGGGTCAATGTATGTCACTCGTCCTGTCCCATGGAGTGTCTGGGCATTAGTGAATAGTGTTGCACGTTTGAGACGGACATTCAGACTTTCAGGGATGAACCGTTGAGATAAAGAGATGTGTATTGAAATATATAGGTGCTCGTTCAGGAAACTCGAGGCCCAATGGATTTTTGTGTTTATTGTTCTTAGATGTTTCATGTGCTGTCTTCTTCTGCAATATATACAGTACATACATATACATACTATAGTAGTTCTGTACTGTTATGTATTTAGAGAATAGTTTATGCACTGTATGTATTGTATTTAAACCAATTTTTTTTTTGCACGTCTCTTTTCCTGTGCTTGCAGTCAGCTGAACATGGCTCGCAGATCTTTTGACCCGGGCCGAGAACAGGTGGAGCGGAGCTTGTGTGTCAGTTCCCAGCTGTTGCCCACCATCTTCGTCTTGGCTTTGCATAAGCTGCAGGCTGCCATGTTGCCTGTGCGCATCATCTGATGCGTGGGGTGCCCCCTCCATTCATCTGCAGCAAGCGGCCCATGATGGCAGTAGGAGCCAAGGAAACGATGAAATTGTTCCTCTCCTGCTCGTGCCAAAATGTAGCACCGGCAAACTTGGCACCTCAGGTAAGCTTTGTCAAGCTTGAAGTGGTGTTGACCTTCCACCGGAGCTTGCTGCATTTCCAAGAGGTCATGGATGACTTCAAATCTCGTCTTTTTGTGCTCTTTGGCCACGATGGCTTGTTTGCAAGGAGCGTTGAGACCCTCTTGAATCTCCTTGAGGAGAGATTTGGCATGAAGCCGCTGCCGACAAAGAGTGCATTGGACTCCCGATCTGAAAGCTTGCCATTGGTGTCCATTCCTTGTGGGCTCCTCGAGGTAGGTGGCCAGCAGGTCACGCTTCTGCTGAATGAGGGGGATCTTGCCCGGACTGTCTTGCTGGTGCTTGGTGTGCAAGAAGTGGCTTTTGTCAGTCAAAAGGATCTCCATTCGATTGGTCGCCACAAAGAGGATGTCTCGCGTGTCTTCATCTACCTGACGTTGGAGGTCCAGGATCTCTTCTGGGCGAGCCAAAATGGCTGCCTGGGTGGCTTTGGCCTGCGTGTCCTTCTGGAAGAGCTTCCTGTTGTGATTGCTGTTCAACTCAGAGCCACTCAGGAGCAAGAGACGGACCTGATCATAGTCTTCCTGCTCCAAGCCTAAACATAGGTCCGGGAAGTGCTCAAAAGCAGCCATCCATGTCCAGAGTTTCCAAGTGGTGTGCTGGAAGACCGGGACTTGCACCTTGTCATTGATGTGAAGTGACAGGTGCTTGAGGGCATAGAAGAAAGCCCTTTGTCTGGTTGCTTGCCCGGGGCAGATGCCAGTGATGGAGGCAATCCTTTCCTTGGAGTGGGCGTCATGGATGCAGATGGCAAAGGCGAACCTTCGATGTCTTGGGTCTCGACAGGTAGGAGCAATGGCCACAGAGAAAGCTTGACCAGCGCCGACCGTCAAAGTCTCCAGATTTGCCCATAGACCTTCTCCATTGAAAGTAGCCATGCCACCATCCGGGATGTAGAAAAGGCTCTGAGTCATGCCTCTGTTCCAAAGCTCCGGTTCTGTGCCTGCTTGAAGTCTTTCATGCCATTGGTCTGGCAGGTCTTTGACTCTCCCTTTCCAGAAACTGCACTGCCACAGTAAGTGGATGAAGGTGAGCTCTTCTCCACAAAGAGGGCATGATCCTTCTTGACCATGGAGAGTGCCCTGGTGCAAGGCCCTGAGCGCTGTGCACTGCTTGTCAGTGCACATCTTTTCCATCGTGCGGCTGACAGTCCAATCTAAGGGCCTTTCCAGGTCGTGGCAGCCGGTGTACCTGGTCAACCGGAGAAGACGCTGCCAGCGAAACTCCTTGAGGAGCTTGTGGTGGAGGGACGGCCAATTGTCTTCCAGTTGTATCTCACAGTCTGGAATTCCCCCCATAGCCAGTCCTTTTCCAGTGTTTGCCAGCTGAGATGTCAAAGTCATAATCGAGGAGATAGGCTTGTAGTGCCTGCATTGGCCCAGTGACCACTTGCCAACGGTATTTGGCTTTGAGAAGAAGGTCAAGAGCTGAAGTCCAACTGATCCAGAAAAGGTGTTGAGCGCTTTCATCAAAAGCATGGTAAACCTTCCACACCGTGTGGACATGCTGGAGGATGATCGAGTCACCAGGGTCCACTTTGTTGGGATTCATGTCAAAGACCACATCAACAGACCCTGACTTCTGTAGCTTCAGGCCTCTGGCTGCCATCACCCGGATCTGTTGCCGTCGTTGCGGAGCGAGCCCATTTGCTTGAGAGCCCCATGTCATCACGGGATGAATCGCTCCCCGATGCAGTCGATATCTGACCTGCGGGTTCAACTTGAGTCGGTGCATGATCCCTGCTCGACCACGGCCTTTGAGGAACCGTTTTTTGATCTGCATGACTCTTCTGCGCCTGGAGTTCGTGGCGTCAATGCCGAGGTCCCGAAGAACGTTGAAGTGCTTTGGATCGGTGTCTTGAAGATTCAGGTTCAGTTCTTTTGCCACTTCTTTGCTACTGGAGATGAAGCCGGTCTTGTCGGAGTTGATCTTTAAGCCTGCTGCTTCAACATGTTGCTTGAGAGACCTGAAGGCCAGGACAGCTTCCCTTGCAACATATGAGGCATCGGTGCCTTTGATGTCGAAGGAGACGTCATCCACCCAAGTTTGTAGTTGGACAGCAGGGTGGTCGCGCACCAAGGCCCTTAGCGGCTTGTAGAGGACCAGTTTGGCAATGGCCGGTGCCTGAGGGCAACCTTGCAAGATGCCTTTTTCATAGTGCTTTGGATCACCCGAGATGCCTTCCGCCTGAAGGAGGCGAGGACCCGTGTATAGGTCGAGAGCCAGCTTGAGGTGCAGCGGTGGGTAGTGCAAATCCAAGGCTGGTTCAATGAGATGATCCAAAGTGACCGTGTCATAGAAGCAAGTGAGGTCTGCTAAACATGAGACGGTGTAGATGCCCTGGTGCTTGCCTATTTCAGCTTTCATCATCCTCCCAACCGCTATGGACAGACAGTCCCGATGAGGTCTGGCTTGGTCCCAAGGCATCTCTTTGTCGAGACCAAGCTGCCAGTGTTGTAGTTCAAACTTGCGGTATCTGTTCCACAGCCGGTACAGACATGAGGTCAAAGCAATGGGTCTTTCTATCTTCTCATTCTTTGGGATCAGCACGATGTTGGTGTAGCGGAGCTGTGTAGGTAACTCCGCAGTTTTCTCCATCTCAGTGAGCAGCTGAGCGAGTCTTTCCACCGCAGGAAATGGAAGGTGCCTGAGGAAATCATAAGAGATGCCGTCAGGACCAGCTGCCTTGTTGGGGAGTTTCCTCATCAGCTTCTGGAGGATGACGGTGTCCAAGGGAAGGAAGGTGGCCGCCTGAGCCTGTGCCCTGCGTTGAAGCTCTTGGATCCCTCGGATGTTGGCGGGACCTTCAGTGACGATCCAAAGCTGTCCCCATTGTTGTTCCCTTGCCTCTAGCCGCTGAGTGGGCGGGAGACTTTGAAAAGGTCGTTGCCACGCGTGATCTTTTTGACGTAGGCTCCTGAAGAGACCCCGAAGACCTTTGTCATGAGCCTTTTCCAGCCATTCACGAAATTCATGATTCGTGGAACTGAGCAGCTGTTTTTGTGCTGTTTGAAGCTCTTGCTGGATGATTTGTCTGAGATTCGTGAGATCTCTGGTGGGTTGTGTGATCCACTGCCAAAGCTGATCACGGAAGCCCTCTTGATCAAGATCCGAGGAGGCATGCTGTGGGATCAAGGGAACCATGGCCTGTAGATCTTGTTGCACTTTGGGATGCGGGCCATGTGTGAGTATGTTCAATCTCACGGTCATCTTCTCCCAGAAAGCCGGGCTTCCATTCTTCCAGATCCGTGGTTTGTTGGCATCCAGAAGTGGCCCTTGTTGGAACTTGACCTGAGAGCCCCTGCCTGTGGTGGGCTTGTGAAGGAGCTGTGTGAGGTACTTCTCAGTCCGTGTGGCCCATCGAGCCAGATCCGATCCGAGACCCGTGATGAGTTCGCCCAGCATCTGAAAAGGGCCGTTGGATTCTTCAAAGGTGGTCCAATTCCTCGGCAATTGAGCTGTTCTGGCAATGGGAGGAAAACGCTGCAGCTGTTGAACAGGAAGGGCCGCCCACTCACAGTCGAATTTGAGATCCAGTGCGCAATGTGGTTTCCAAGGCACTTCCCAATTGTGATGCAGCTGGAGTGCACTGTAGATGGAAGTGGACGCTAGGATGAAGTCCAAATGGCTGCCCTGCAAGGTCGTGGCTTCGTCTTTGGCCAGAATTTGAGCTCTGAACTTGCTAGGTATGATGGTGGAAGCCAACTCTTCAGGGCTGTTCTGCCAATCCCCTCCAATGATGAAGGGTGAGTGAAGGTGTCCAATGAACTGCAGCATCTGTCCCAAAAGCTCAGCGTTGAGAGGTGATTGGAAACTCTCCCCCGTCTTGAGATAGACCTGAATGATGAAGAGGTCCCCTCCTTGTCGTTCCATCCGTAGGGCAGTCCAACCATTGCCTTGTTTCGTGCAAGTGTGCACGTGGTGAAGTAAATGCCTGACTGGATGAACAGTGAGGAAACCACCCGTATTGCCTCCTTGACCCGTTGGCTCAGCAGGTACTCCATGACATTTCCACCCTCGGATGGTGAGATACTGCATGACTTCTTCAAGAGCCTTCTTGTCCAGGTGAGTTTCTTGGAAGAACATGATGGAGTCCCCCTGGTGCCATAGCCAATCTTGCACTTTGCGCCCGAAGGTGGTGACATTGCTGAAGGTGATGCGCAGAGTTTCATAAGAGTGCTTCTGCTTTTTCGGCATGGAGGCTGCCACCTCAATGGAGGTGTCCGGGACGAGTTCATCCTCTTGAATGAGAGCGAGCCAAATTTGAGTGATCTCCCTCCTCTGTTGCTCCGAGATGTGTGGAATGGCCTGTGGGTAAACTCCATCATCGGCTAGCCAATGAATGTTGTCCACCGAGAGGATGCTCTGGTAGTGTCCATGATGATGATCAACTCCTTGATGAAGGACCATGCCAATCACCTTGTAGGTGGCCATGTGGACGTGCTGTCCATCTTCCGAAAAGGGGATATTGATCTTGGTGGCAGTGTCAATCTCCCGGTGATGTTTGGTCCAAATGCCTTCCACCAGGGCCGTCCTCTGGATGTGTAAGACCAGTCCCCCGGGAGATCCATACAAGAACTGCCCACCTCCTTCGTCCGCCCATTGAGAGACCAGAGTGTCCAGGGTGATAGGAGTTTGACCTTCTGGACATAAGAGATTCAAGGGAAACTGTTCACGTTCTTCTAGTTGATCACGATGATTCCGATGAAAGAAACGTCCCCCCAAAGAAGGGAGTCCCAGAGTGGGTCCAAAGGTGATGCACGAAATCAGCTGCATCAGCTTGCTCATCTTGAGTGAACTGAGAACATATGGTTTGAAGATCATGAAGACCCGTCAAATCCTGTGGTTCCCCGTCCGAGAGGTATTGTCGAACTGCTGTTTGGGTGTGGCCCCAAGCTTGATTTGCATCCTCGGCAAAAGCCCCCGCCCAGCACCAGCACCGCCAGGGTGCATTGCCATAACAGAGGTTCTTGTTGTTGCGCAAGATGCTAGTGAGCCCTTGTGAGATGACATAGATGTTTGCCGCATCTGTATCTCCTTCTCCTGGTAGGCTGAGGTGCCTGTGAACTATGTTTTGCATCCTTTTGAGGTCGACCAGAAGCTGCTGGCCTTGATGCACAGTGGCATGATCTGCATAGGTGTTGCATGATCGGTTGAGGTCCCTTCTGCAAAGTTCAAAAAGTGTCTGTTGCTCATTGGAGAGCAAGGAGTCATCCATTTCCATGTTGAGGACTCTTGCCAAAGCACGAACAGCCGAGGTCCCGTGGTTAGCAGGCTTCTTGGGAAGCTGCTCTGAGGTAGGAGAGCTCGGTGCCTCGGTGTCCTCTTGGCCTGTAGTCACTTCTGAGGTGTCGTTTTTGGCACCTCCCTTCACCTTGAAGGTGTTGCGCTGCGGTCCATATCCCACCGCGTCAAAAGTGCGGCCCGTTCTTGAGCCTGGGTATTGCGAATTCACAAGAGAGTATTGCATGCCCCTGCAATGTTCTTGTGCTGTCCCCAGTTCATGTCCCGCAGAACATGAAGTGTGTCCCCCATGTGTGAGCTGCATTTCATGACCATGTCCAAGTGTGTTACCCACACAAAGCTTCTGGAGCCCCGGTGCGTCGGCGTTTTGCCTCTTCATCTGTCCCTTCAACACCTGACTGCGGCCGTTTGAGCATCTGCTGCAACTGCTCTTTTTGCTCTGGCGTGAGGGAGACACCCAAAGTGGTGATGAAGCCAGCTACGGCCTCCGGGACGGTGTCTTTCATTTCGACATCCAAAACATAGCTGCCAGGAGGGTGTTCCTCTTTGACTTTGGTCATGTAGGCTGCGCTTGTGGCATTGAGAGACGCCTGTTCCTGCTCAAGCTTTTGTTGGAGTTGTTTCATCTCCTCCAAGAGGTCTTGATAGTGCTTCTTGGTGCTGTCTATCTTTTGCTGCAAGATTTGCTTGCGATGAGAGATGTCCCGGAGGTTTGTGACTTGCTGCTTCAATTGAACAGCCATGTCCTTCTCCGTGGGAGGTTGCGGCTTGGTGATCTTCTCCACCAGTTCTTTAACAGGAGCTGGCAAGTTGGCCAAGTTTTCCTTGAGAACATCAGTGAGGTCTGGCTCAATTTGCTTGGGGTTGGGATTGATGCCAACCTCGATGAGCTTGGACCGGAGGGCTTCATCTAATCCTTCCCACGCAGGAGCTAGGATGTCGGAGGCCACTTTCTGAAGCTTGCCGGACTTGCCCGGTTTGCCCTTGCCTAGCCCTGGTGGTGGTGTAGGAGAGCGTGCTTTGTAGGCATTCCATCTAGTGAGGTGCTTGACCTGCTGTGCTTTGGAGGCATACCCTTGACTGGGCTTTTTCCAAGTGCTGCCGCAAAGCCTGCACGTGAAGCCCGCTTGGATCTTGTCCTCCCAAATCCAGTTCTTGCAGGTGCCACTGTTGCAGATCTGGTATGACCTGCCCCATTGCATGATGTCACCGTCTTCGATGTCAAGAACCTCTTCGGTGAAGTCGTGAAGAACGATCGAAGGGCCAGGGCCGTCGTGGGAGTCGTCGAGATAGTGGCCCTCTTGCTTGAGCAGAAATGGCTTGAGCCTATTTAAACCAAATATATATATATTAAATATATATATATGTTTGGAGTGCTAGGGATTTCATATATGGTCAGAAGTGTCAGAACAGGTTGTTGCTCCCTGCAATCGCCCACAAAATTCCCAACCGTTTCCTAAACCTGGCCTTGCTCATTTGGTGCTTTCGAATACCCAGGGGTATAGACTTGAGGGGACTCAGCCTTCATCAAATGTATCTTGGATATCTGAGGTGAGATGAGGTGAGTTGAGATGAGGTGAGTTGGGATGAGTTGGGATGAGGTGGGTTGGGATGAGGTGAGATGAGATGAGTTGAGATGAAGTGAGATGAGGTGAGTTAGTTGACTAGCCCATCTCAGCCTTACCTGTCTAGATATTTGTGGCGTGTCCCAAAGTCTTTCTTGCGATTACAAGCATCACAAGTGTTGTCCCCTGCAAAATCTCCACCCCATGACAGGCATGCAAGTTGCACAACACCATGCGCGCCGGTACGGCACACGGGCAGGCGTCGCCACGCGCAGAGACGACGTGGGGACGCCAAGCGTGCCTGGAGTTGCTCCAGGCCGAGGTTACGAAAGGCTTCCGCCAGGCGTGCTAGTGTTCCTGGAGAAGAGGCAGGCTCTGTGGATTCGGCTCCAAACTTGGAAGGTACACTGGTACACCCAAGTTTGCACTGGACAGAACAGTTGACAAGGATTTGGATGCCAAATAGAGATGAACAAGATGTATGCTATAACTTGGTGCACTCTTTCAGGTCAAAGCTTTTAACCCCACAACATCCCACAACTAAGAGCTATAAAATGCTAATAAAGAGAATCGCTTGCAGGGCACGGCGCGGAGAATCCCGATCGATCCACCGATCGATCCACATGCTCCGTGCACGCCGCAGGCCGCCCGGGTGAAGAGTGACGAGGGGTTTGTCTGAGAGGTACCCCTACTTCGTAGGTCGTACGACTCGTAGGTCGTACGACTCGTTGGTTGATGGGGGGTACAGGATGTCCTGTTCATCAACCAATCGGTAAAAACGGGATGTATATACGAGGCCCATCCTATTGGTATGTATTTTCGGTCACCTCTTCACATCGACCGTGGTCCTGCCATCGACCGTCTGGTCGTCAACGATCAACGGTACGATCGAAAGCACTCCCTGAGGTGGATGGCACGGCCCCGGAAAGACCATGGCTCGGAATACCAAACAGGGGGCTGGACCTGAACTCATCATGGAAGTGGAGAATGTCCATGCCATCCACGGCCCATGATGACTTCAGCTAGTGTAATCTGAACAGACTCAACTTGAAACCTCAACCACCACCGGTCGGAACCAAAAAGACCAACGATTGACGTAAAAAACCAGACCTTCCATATACACTTCCTCCATGACTTGAGCGGTATAACCACTCGACTTCTTGAAGAAATCATCCAAAAAACGCTCCACCGGTGCTTTCCACCGGCCATTCGCTCGGTCAGGTGCACCTGAGTGTAGCCGCAGCAAGGCCGCTGCAGCATCCAAGAAGCGGCTGACCTGAAGGAGTGATGGAGTCATGGACGTAGCTAGTCCTGAAGGAGTGCTGAGTGACTTTGGGGGGGCGAAAGCAGCTGAAAGATGGCGGATTTTGGACGACATGCAGGGTCATGAGTCTGATAGTCTGGCCAAATCGTTTTGGAGAATTGAATCCCCTCCACCTTTTTAAAAAGACAGGGCCCCCCCCCTCCCCCTACAAACAAAAACTCGGGTGCTCTTTTTTTAGTAATTAGGGGGGTCCCTAAAATCGGGCTTGTCCAAAATAGGGTCAGTGGGAGGATCCCTGAATCATTGATTAACAAAAAGTCACCCAGGAAAACTTTATACTTTATATAAAATCCTCTATTAAGCTCGTAACAAAAATTGAACAAAAACAACTCCAGATCGAAGGGTCTTTCTTTTCCCAAAAACAAAAACAGTGATTCTTGATTAGACTAACAACTAAAGCTTTCGAAAGGTGAGTCCGTGCCATTGGGGAAGGAAAACCTGCTGGTGTAAACGCGGCATGTCATGGTGGATAGACAGGGTGGACGGAGGCGGGCAGTTAGGGCTGTTTTTGGAACCATATGTAAACATAAAACTCCACCAAAATCGGCAATGCTGGTAGTTTAGTAGAGGTTTTTAGGGTGGTAGTATAAATCGTATTTAGGGGGTTCCGAGATCTTGTTTTAAATTACTGTAGGGGTACTTGTTTTAATAGGTTACGTACGTTTTGAAATAGGTACGTCGGGAACATTCAGAATTGATTGTATTTGTGAAGGTTCTGGCGTGATTCGTTTTGTTCTCCAACGTTCGAAGGGCCAGGGTGGTGCATGATGGTTCCATGCCAGAACTGAGGTCACTTCTTGGCCTGTTCCGTGCAATCCGGCTTTAGTAGGCTGCAAGCCAGCACTGCTTGAAGCTCAAGGTTCTTGGAGTTGAACCCTTCCAAAGATGAGAGGGACTATGGGAGGGATATGACCTCTTGCTTACTCTGCTCAGGCCAAGCAAGAGGCCAAGCCTGCATATCCTAATCTTCTTCGTTTCGTTTCGGGAGTAACGCCCTGTCCAACGCCGTAACACCCTGTACCTCTGTTTTCTCCTTGTGTTCTGTCTCCTGTCTCGCCAGTTTGGTCCCCACCCTCCTCCCCCCCCCAAAACTGATGGTTCCTTTCCCCGCCAAACCTTCCATATCCTTCCATTGCACCCCACCTCCCACATCCATTGCACCTCACCTCCCACATCCATGCGCCAGGCAGCTAAAGGCCAGGTTTTCGCCACGGGGCACTGCACGTCTCCGGCATCCAGTCGAACGACCTCGCCTCGTTGGGGTCGAACGGTGCGGTCGAACAGCGCGAGGAGACAACAAGCGGATCGAACGGTCGGATGACAAGGAGAGGAGGCCGAAGCCGAGATGACTAAGCGGATTGCGGTGAGAGATGGTGAGAGGCTAAGCTAAACTAAGAGGTACGGACATCATACATGCACATCACACCTGCGGAAGAAACAGACCTGGTCTGAAAAGAGAAGTGCTGACAACAGGTGAAACATAGCCGAAGTTCTTCAACGGGTCGATATACCAGAGTCACACCTGGAAACCTAGTCCCTAACCAGAAACCCATGGCATGCGAACCCATGGCTTGCTTACAAGATCTTTTGCATCGGAAGCGGCTGTATGGGGGGAAACAACATCCATTTGTTTCTGGTTGGGGATGGGTTTCCAGGAAAAAACTCGCTGCATTAGCTCTTAGGTTGGAGGCCATCGCTAGCTATTCGTCCAGGCAATGATCATTCCTCAAGTCCAGTAGCTCCAACGTTCGACCGAGAGATCCAGCTACTCACCTCGAGATCCACCTGCTTTCCCCAAAACAACTCGCCTCACCACTTGGTGTGTCGCTCTGGTGTATCACACAACTAACCGGTGAACATCTCCATATCGATTCAAATGACAATTCGTGGTGTTTCACCAGTTCGTGTGTGGGAGTGATCTGATGACTGACTGCAGCTGATGAAGAAACGTAAACGCTGCGCGCTGCTGTCGCTCCAGCTGACTACGCTGCGATTCGCACATCTTAAAGTTGAAACTAGACGACGTGACTTTGCGAAGATGACTTCAAAAGGATCCACAAAATCATTGTCAAAGAAAAACGACCCAGTACGTTCTTCTACGAGTCAGAAACCATCATGCATCTCCGCATCTCCCCATCTTCTGCTTAGGGTACTAGCAACAATGTCCAGCTAGTCCTGAACCAACTCCTGTACTCTGGGAGCTCATGACCAGGATTATGTTCCACAAAAGATTTGAGACAGGTGGTATTTGCCATGAAGTTGAATCTTCTAGACACTCCCAGGGAACAAAATAGTGGGCCAACATTGATGGCATGGCCTCGAAGACGAGAGGATGACCCTGAAATGAACAAACTCCGAAGACCAAACAAATGGTTGTTACTCCACTTCCATGATGATTTCGTGTAGATTTTGCCGGAGTCTAGCCGTGCCCAGCCCCATCACAGTCCCTGCTGACCTCCGTCCAAAACAACAGAGATTTGCTCTGCGTTGACAGTCTGGCAGCGATTGGGTGGAATTGGGTGGATGGCCAGAGCACCCTCGGTGGTGCAGAGTCTCATGAGAGAGAAAGAACATGCAAGACCAGCTCTCGTTCGTCTTTGGTCAATTTCTTGTTTGGAACCATGAAACTCATGTTCTTCCCTGCTAAATATCTAATATGGAAGTGGGGAGTGCGATTTCCAGGCCTTTTGCATTCATGTGTCGGAGAGAGGGACTCACGGCAACGTTTTTGAGCTCTGTTGGCACACACATGGGAAACCGTGATGCTTTAGCTGACCCAAACTCATGTGAAGCCATGTCTGTCTTCATGAAGCATACATTGCTTTCAGGAACACCCTCACATGTACCTTCAGATTGTTACTGGTAAGACATCCTATGAATTCCGTCGACGTCACTCTGTTCCTTTCGGGTTACCGTTGGCTTTTTGATCGCCCGAATCTCATCGATATTCATCGATGAACCCTTGGATGGTGTCGTATATCCCAGACACCCTGGGCCAGTGGATGATGATGGGGCCTGGTTACAGGCCGACATCTCAAACATCGTGATCATCTGTGCATGATTTTATCATCTTTTATCGACGGCTAGGCTATGGTTTGTTGGGACACACCAGCCAGTCACATTGATCAATGAAACAAACTTCACCTCGAAAAGGGCTTGGCAATTACAAATTCTATCAAATGCATACACCGTTGGAGTTCATCGACTGGTTTCCCAATCCAATGCCTTTGAATGGCTGATCCGTTGGTACCCGTGAGTCCCTGCGTTTTGTCACGAAAAACGTCGGTACCACCCCTCCGGAAGGATGGAACTGGATGGAACATTGACATAGCCGAAGACCGGGGGTTTTCCACTTCCACGGACGGAGGGAAGGTACAATACACGATAGTCCATGTCGAATCCAGGATAGTCCATGTTTTCACGTGCATGGAAAACATTGAAAGAAAAACACACATTTCATGGCGCCATCTATGCTTTGAAAACGCTGCTGGTCATGTTTTCCTTTTTGGCCCAACAAAGCCCTCCCCTTTCTTCGCCGGGCGCTTCGCCGCTTGGCCTGACACAGGCCCTGACCCTTTGGGGTCAACACCGCCAGTCCCGGTAACGCCGAGAGCACCTGCGGGGTCCCGGACGTCCCGCCGCGCGTCAAGGTCCGTGGTTCTTGCTGCGAGATCCAAGAGGATCGTTGAAAGGTCCACCAAGTCGTGGGCACGGTTCGTCGTGGTGGTTCAGACCGGATCGGTCCAGGAGCAGTTCGTCCCCCCCAATAAGACCACGGATCGGTCCAGGAAGGTGATCCGGTGGTTGTTTGGAGGTGATCCCAGGGGCTGGATAGCAACTTGGAGTTCAAAGGGTTGTCTGGGATATGTCTGGGATATGTTTTGGAGAGGGACCACCCCTAATAGTAGAGGAGCGGGATGTTATGCGGGTGTGTGTGTGTGTTGTATTTTTTTTGTTTTTTTTTTGCTTTTTGTTTTCAAAATAGGAAAGGGTAGAAAGTGTGTTTGTATTCTGATAAAGTCCACTTAAAGTCCCATCATCATTGGGAGGTTCAGGGCTAGGAACTTGGAGGTGATCCAAATTTTGGGAGGTACTACCACAGACTGTAGAGGTATTCCACCACATATCGGTCTACCGGAGATAAGGAGGCGACTGGCCAGCACAAAAGGACATACACCTTTCTCAGTTCTGGATTCCCAGCTTCTAGAGCTCCTCAGCACCATATCCTTTTCTGTTGCATCTATATACCCCCACCCATGGATGCAGTAAACTAGCCATGTTAAATCATAAGCATCGGACGAAGACTCAAACGATTAGACTAGTCAAGACAATAATAGCGATGGCCTCCAACCTAAGAGCAATGGCCTCCAACCTAAGAGCGATGGCCTCCAACCTAGAATAGAACAAATGACTGGAACTGGTGGGGCAAGACCGGTGTCGAGAGTAGATCCAATGCGTACATGTATACAAGTTTGCACATCTTTGCCCGAAGTGGTCCGACCAGAACCTGGGAAAACGCGCGAAAAGAACAAAAACATGAATGAGGACACACCAATTGGTCAGTGTCAGTGCCTCTTCTCTTACAACATTGAAAGGAGTGCCAAGCAGCTTGGCAAAGTGGCCTAGTCCATAGTACAATAAAACCTGGTTGGTTCCCACATCACTTCAATAATCCCTGGCTTCACATGAAACAAAACAAGAGCATGCTTGGATCAGTGTCATCTAAACAACCGCTTGATCTGGGATCTTGCAATCAGATTAGAAGAAGCAGAGTTGAATGGGCCAATTCCCTACGTTGAAGAACGAGGAAACACAGTACTGGCAGAAGTTGCTGGTTCTATGGTATTCCCAGCAACTTCTGCCTGTACCGAGCTCATGAAGTTGATGCCACCTACTCCTCAAATAGGATTGACCCACAAGGGCTTGTAACGCTCCTCTTAGTTTCGGGTCTCGCATTCCAGCATCGACGCCCGTGGACAGCCAGCAGGAGGAAAGTGAGAACAAAATAGAACAAACATGTATTGTAGCGAAGGCAAACTGGTATCCACCTTGATGAAACGTAGATAAAACGTAGATGAAACATCTGTGGTGCTGATGACATACCTACCAGTGAACGGAGTTCAGGGTGGTTCACGGCGTGGACGAAGATCTCTCAGACCATCCATGTGAGAATTGTTGCGTACATTATCCCCATGAAAATCACCAATCCATGTAAGTAACTATTCCAGTCCCATGGATGGTTTGGGTGTTCCTGAACACAGGGGCACCTGCTTCAGTGCTTGGCGTGGAAGAAAGGCACGGTTCTTCCCGTGGCTGAGCGCGCACCAAAGCTGAACCTTCGGGTGCGCTGGGTCAGGCGATCGGAACTCCCAGTGGTATAGTAATTATGTATATCTAAAGACTATATACAGC